TGGTCAGTGGCCTTAGAAATGGCCACACAAAAGGCCTTGCCCTTTCCTCCAGATGGGACCTGTGCTTGGGAGACCTCAGGCCCTTTGCTCTTGCCTGGTCTTACCCGCTCCCCCTCCCTTTCTCCCCAGAGCGGCTCCCACCTGTTTGGGGAGCCCCGCCCTCTTGGGCTCTGTTTCTGACAGGCGCCCTGTGGGGTTCCAGGGGGAGGGCCTGGGGTACAGGGGGCTGACCTCCAGCTGGCCCAGCAGAGCAGCCAGACACTGAGCCATGTGCCGGGTCCACTCTGTTCCCCCAGCTTGGGGACACTGGCCCCAAACTGCTGCAAGTCAGGAGAGGCATTAGGTCCCAGCTTCAGGGAGAGAGGGGGGCAGAGGAGGGAGGAAGGAGAAACTCACGAATCTTCCTATTTCTCTATTTATTGCTTTATTCGTGGAAGGCTTATCCCCATGCACTTAAACGGGATTTGAGGAGCTTAAAACTAAATGCATTTAAAAGGGAACGATTGGGAAAGCAAAATAGCACAAGAACCGTGTCAGATGAGCGCAATATTTTATTTCCTCGGAGGCTCACGGGGATAATGAAGGCAGAGCCTCTTACTTAGGCCACCCAGGAAGTGGGATGCTCAAGAAGCGTCATCAGATCCCCCTAAGTCACTGGGGATTCCTCCTGGCCTTGTGGGTCCCTCTGAGGTGTCTTCCCCATCCAACCCCAGAACTGTGTCCCCTGTGCTATAACCAGAGGAGGCAAGGAAGCCAGGCCCTGCCCCTGGCACTTGGCAGGGCCCCAGAGAGTCGCTGGGGGGTGCAGAGGTGGGGGGAGCCTGCAGGCGGCTCCTCTCCAGCGCTGTCCTGAGGAGCAGCTTCCGGTGCAGAGCAGCCCTGGGAAGGAAACCCGGAGGAGGCCCGGGGAGCAAAGGCTGGTGTGTTCCAGGCAAGAGGGGCAGGATCCTAAGGACCCAGAAGGACTGGTGCCCAACCCAGGCTGCAGACTGGCAGCGGAAGCCAGGAGGGCATCCCTCTATCCCACCGGCACTTGAAGAGCCCCAGAGAAATTGTAGTTTCCACTGCAACATCCCCCTTCTATGACAGGAAAACTGAGGTTTCAAGGAGCAAAAATAGATGAGCAAAAAAAAAAAAAAAAACACAGATGTTAAACCACTCTGCTTGTTCAAATTCTGGCTCTGCTACCTTCCAGCTGTGTGTCTTCAGGTAAGTCCCTTGGCCTCTCTGAACCTTGATTTTTCTCTCCTATAATAAGAGAAATAATAACTTCCCCCAGAGGCAGTCATGGGAATTAGATCAGGAATTGTAACTGAAGTGTCACACCCATAAAACATCCCCAATATAGAGTAGCTTTATTAGAAGATCATTCTGATCAACTCAATATTTACAGAGCACTTGGTGGAATTCGTTAAGGAATCTAGTCCAAATACGACAGTGCTCCTCTCCTGGCTGGTGACAGTGCCAAGCTCCCCTCCACAGCCCGTTGTTCTGGTGTCATGTGGATGCAGCTACTGAAACATAAAACTCTAGAAGGCAGGGCCACCCAAAGCCACCTGCCCGTCTCTCCATCCTTGTAGAAGGGATTGTGAACTGTCACACGTGCATGAGGTTCTGCCTGACCACCGGATGCCTACGGAGGCCTAAGGGGGAGAGGTCTCAGGAGAGCCCAGGGGGTGGGAGGCTGGAGGGCAGCTCTTGAGGCTGGGAGAGTGGGGTACATGGTGGCAGGAAGTGAATCTCAGGAGGTGAGAGATGGGAGGTGAGTTCCAGGGGACCAAGTCAAGACTCAGGGGTCAGAGGTTAAAGGTGAACATCAAGAGGTCAGGACTGGAGGTGAGGGTTGAGGGCGCGAGCTTAAATGGGGCTCCCAGAGGTCAGGGGCTGGAGGTGAGCCTTGGCAGGTGGGAGTCCCGGCCCGAGGATGAGGGTGGTGAGCGTCTGGGGTGTCTGAGCGGGTCTCAGGAAGTGGGTTAGTTTCCTCTTGCTGCTGTAACTCATCCCCATTCTGTACCTGTGTCTCCCTGCCCCTCCCCTCCTGTCCCCCACTCTTTCCTCCTTTCTCCAGGTTGGCCTGCTGGGCTCCAGGACAGCTTCTGAGCAGCAGGAGGGCAGGGTCGCTTAGCTGTGAATCATCGCTGCCATAGGAACACGCCTTGCGAGGGACATTTCCTGCCACCTGTTATTCATAAATCCTAGACACGTTTATTGAGTGCTGAGCACTGAGCTCGGTGGAAAGGATTCGACATTGAGCCAGACAGAGGCAGTGGGCGTCCTGCCTTCCTGGACTCTGCCACCCAGCACCCAGCAGGCCGCTCCTAGGCGCCTCCAGGGCTGCAGGAGGCCCTCACCAGCCCGGCCCAGTGCCCCGTCCATTTTCCAAGAATGTTCAAGTCAGCTGCCGCCTGAATCCATGGATAATAATGAACATACTTTATATACAAAACAGAGATATGAAAAATTGTGCTCTCTGTGTGTAATAAGAATTGTGATGCATTCCGCTGTCATGTATTTAAAAAATAAAAGCAATTTTAAAAAACTAAATCATATTAACTTGTGGTAATTATGTTGGAAACCAAGATGATATAGCTCAAAACGCATCATGCCCGTTAATTGGCTGAGTTGTTCTGTTATCTAGGCACCTGGGGTTAAATACGTCCAAAGAATCTGTGGGGCAGAGACACCATCTATCACTGTGGCTTGCATCTCTTCCCTGCTCCGTGCTCAGGACTGTCAATGTTGGCATTTTGAAACGAGAAGTATTTACACCATGGAACCTGGCATACGCCACCCGGCAGGCATTTTTTTTGAGAGTCGGTCACTAAACATTTACAGCACACCGGCACCTGCTCCTCGCTATGGAATCCTGACCATCTTGGGCCATCGTGGCTCTTGGCTCAAAACTATAAGAGAGGAGTGGGAGCCTTGGTTGGGGACACTCTGAGCCCTCCATTTCATCCTCATCGGCCTCTGGATGGGTGACAGACACACGGGCCCTGGATGGCCATCTCCCAGGCAGGGGCCTCTTGCCCAAGGTTCTGGCCTCAGCTCCTCCAAATAAAATCCAAGCTCTGCTGCGCCATCAGAAAACAGCTGTTCCGCCAAAGCTCGCAGGACTTCATTCTGATTGCAGACGCAGCTGGACCGCAGCTCCCAGGCCGGCGTGTAACTAACTTTCACTTTACTCACATTCTCAGGAAAATTGACGATTTTCTGCCGTTTTATTACACTTGACGATAATTTAAAAGGCAGGTTTAGTGCGTCCATAAAACCCACTTTGCAACAAGCTTGTGATAGTAGAAAAATATATTTGGCCAAGGTCTTTTGTTTGGTCTCAAGGAACAGAGACCAGGATGCCTGCACCCCACCCCCGCCCGGAAACCCCAGTCCCTGGTCATCTCGCTTCGGGGAGGTGGTGGGGCTGGCCCCAGCCTCTTTCCTGCAGGTCCCCAGCTCAGCCAGACTGAGCCGAATGACCCGGGGGCCTCACCCCTGAGGATCACAGCTCAAGAACCACGGCTCCTGGGGACTCCAGCCACGTGGGACACTCGCACACCGACTGACCCCTCCGTCGAGGTCTTCCAAGGGCAAAGCTGGCTTCCAAAGGGGAATTTATAGCCAGCTAATCAAAGCTTAATTACATCAGCTCAGCGGGCTCCAGCAGAACTCAGGCCGGAATGGTTTTGCTTGGAAACTTTTTACGAGCTTAAGCAGAAGCAGCAAATTAGCAGAAGCGAGAGGGAACTCACCCTGCCTTCCCCGTGGCCCCGAAATGGGAATCTGCAGTCACACTGCAGAGTGTCGGGGAGGCAGAGGTGGCGCGCACCAGCAGCCCGGGTGTGGGCCCCGTGGACACAGGCTGGCGCTAGAGACTCAAGCTCCGGACCCCTCCCCTGGGGGACCATGGGGTGGCCTGACATCTCCTCCCCTTATCTCCCTCTGCAGCCACCAGGCATTGCTGAAGGACATCACGCTCCGGAGGCGGCGTGGAATCCCTCCCCACTTCTAGGCATCCTCTCTCCTGGATTCTTGACTCCTGCTGCTTCTGATCAAAACACTCTTCTTTCTCCCCGGTCCATATTTCAAAATTCCTCTCCTGGGCACAAATCATCCGTCCGCCATCTAACGCCACTCTTGTTCCACCAAGGAACTGCTCCTGGTGGGGGATGGGACGGGAACCAGCACTCATTGACCAGAATCGGGAATGCCTCCAGACCCCACTCTGCACCCTGCGTCCCCGCCCTCCTGAATACGCACCCCACATTCCCGGAGAGACGGCAACTTTGAAGTCACGTTGAGCCAGACAAACCTGAGTTTGACTCTCATCACGGCCACCAACTAAAAGGTACTTCTTAGGCCAGTAGTTCGACCTGTCTGGGCCTCAGCATCCTTCTCTGTACCATGGGAACAATAGAATCCACAGCAGGAGGTGACCCGGAGAAGTTCCATTAGGTAACCCCGGGCAGGTAATGCCACACCCGCACGCGGTAGCCTTCACCCAGCCGTGGTTATTGTACTTGATCACTCAATAAAAGTCGAAATCCATAGACTACAATGGCCTCCTAAAAGGGGGGACCTGGGGTTCCAAAAAGAAGAAGGAGCCTCCACACCCCCAGTCCTGTCATCAGCGGTCACCCACAAAAGGCGCCAGCTCTGCAGCCAGATGGGAAGAGGGTCCCCCAAGGGAGGGCAGGCGAATAACAGCATAAAGCAGAACTTGGCCTGGCACAAAAGAAACGCAGGGCCCTGCAGCCTGGGGCTGCACAGGGCAGGGGTCTCCTGCAGAAAACGGGGGTCAGAGTGCAACTCCCAGGGGTGCCAGGCAGCAGGGAGCCGGGTGCACGGCTGGTTTCAATTGTCAGTTTCAGTGGGTTCCTGGAATTCATCATTTTATTTACGGATTACAAAAGGACTGAGACCCGCGACCGCCCACGTTCACGCTTCCTCTCAACTTTATGAACTTCTCCGACAATGAATAAAACCGCTCTGGCATGACAGGCTCCTGTATTATTCTGCGAGGATTCTTTATTCCTAATGTCATCAATTACAATAATCAGATCGCTGTAACACGGGGCCGCTGCGGAGGGGCAGGCGTGCGAGACCAGGGCCGTTGAGAAGCGCTCACTCGTGCTCCTAAAGCACCGTGAGATGGCTGGGAAATGTGATTGCCCTTAAGTTTTAAATTACCTGCAATCATTAAAATAATCTAGTTCATATTCATAAAGCCGTGATTATATTTTACATACCCAGTAAACACTTTATGAGAAAAACCCACAATTCTGAGACGGAATAAAGAGGCTCGATCTGGCGGTGTCAAAATGCTAAGTCGTGTTGGCGTGAAGTCAGCCCAACACACCGAGGTGGGAGCCGAACGCTGTCCACGGAACGGATTCTGTGCCCTGGAGGTGGGTGGTGGGGTGGGCTTGCAGAGGATACTAGGTGGACAAAGAGGGAAAGGGTGGGCAACAGGAAGACAGCACATGTCCAGAGCTTCTGTATGGATCCTTGGCCTGGATATCTGGGTAACTCTGTCCATTTGACTCACGAGATGCCCGCTGGGGAAAGGTCATGTGGCATGCTCAGCACCGTGAGATGCACCCTCCTGGAAGAGGAAAGCTCATTATTCTTATTTGATACATGGAAAAACTGAAGCTCAGAGAGGTTAAGTGATTTTCCTAAGATCCCACAGTAAGCGAGGAAGTCAGACTCCAAACTCAAGTCTGTGTGACTCCCAAGCCCACACCCCACACTTGGTTAGGTACCAGGTCCAAGGTCTCATGGTAGACAATGGCAGACTGGTGCCCTGCTGGCTGGCTAGGGGATGTGGCTGTCCTTGATACCCGACCATCTCAGGTATCAAGCACTCTTTATTGTGCCCTGTCATATTGTGATAGGGTCCCCTTATCCTCAGTGTTGGTGGAGTGTCCTGTGTGAAATGTCCAGGGTGCACCCCATTAGCAGTTGGATCTTAAACCAAGCATTTTGCAAAACTCCTTGTCTTCAAAAAAAAGTAGTTCATTTCCTTTTTTAAATTTTTAATAAAATACTTTTTGACAACAATGATTCTTAAGAAAGGCCATGTTTAAAAACATCCCTCTCTGCCCAATAGAATCAGGCCCATGGAGATGGAGATTCCAGGGTTTGGGTGTAGGAGACCTGAGGTCTTCCTAGGATGAGCCCCATGATCGGAACTCCCCGCCCCACATGGCAGACCTGCCCTCCCTGCACGGATTCTGCTTCCCAGGGGAAAGAGAGAAGATGGTGGAACCTCTCTGCAGAGTGCTGGGACACGTAGGAAGCAAGGGCCTCGGCTGAGCATGCTCAGTGCCTCAGCCAAACCCACCAATCAGAAGAGCAGGATGAGAGGGTGGGCGTTTGCCAGGTCCTTGGGGCTGCTCCAGTAGAGACTCACTCCCTGGAAACCAGAGGGGTGGTCCCAGACCACGGCGCCCACCCCCATAACCAGTGAAGACTGTGTTAGAGAGAGACCCTTCCTCATCTCCTGGCCCCAACATTTTCCCTTTTGCAATTTCTGCACATTTCATGTGACTGCAGTCACTGGGCACACGCGTGCCCTTCAGTGCCAGCTGTGGCGGAGTCTCCAGTGTGGCAAAACCATCCTCGTGGCCACACCCACCAGCTGGCAGAGGTCCCAGCATTGAAGCACAGCCCACCCACTGGAGGTGGGAGGGGGCTCTTCCAGGGGAGAGGTGACCGAGAGCTCTGCCGCCATCGTGGTGGACCCTGAGGTTTTGGCCCAGTCTCGGCCAATAACTCCCCGGCAGCCACCCACCCCATGTTCCACCCAGTCCCAGTATGACCTTAGCTGGTAATAATGAAAGACCCCCAGGAAATCCCTTCTCCTTAAAATTCTGAGGACAGATGTGGCTTTTTCAGGTGTGCACTCATCTGGAGCTTTAGCAAATAGTGGTCATTAGTGAGCCCAGGTTAGAGCTCCATAAAACAGAGCTTTAAGCGGCTTTGGCATGCCCTGCTGGAGCTCAAGGGCCACTCGGGGGTCTCCTCGTGCGTCAGGAACTGCTGCACTTGCCCACAGCCTGTTGTGAGATCCTGGGACCCCAGGGTTGCCATCTCAGAACCCCAGAGGGGAGACAGAACAAGAGACACTGGTGCTAGAGTTAGAACCATGTCCCTTCTCCAAAATTCATGTGTCAAAAGCAAACTGGAAGTGATGGTCTTAAGAGTCGGGCCTTCAGGAGGTAAGTCTTGAGGGTGAGATTAGGCGCTTACTAAAGGGGCCTCCCCAGCATCTGGCCTCCCTAGTCCTTCTGCCTTCCACCACGAGGCGGTTCAAGAAGAAGCTGCCATCTTGGAAGCAGAGTACAGTTCTCTCCAGACAACAATGCCAGTTCCTTGAACTTGAACTTCCAGCCCCCAGAACTGTGGAAATAAATAAACTTGTGTTGTTTATAAACAGTACCCAGCCGGAGGTGTTTTGTTTTAGAAGCACAAGCTTTTTATACCTGCTGTGTCTGGTGGACAGCTGCTGGGCCAGGCCGGACAGCCACGCTGCCTGCCAGCCCCGGAGGCGCTGGACCCAGCTCAGCAGTGACAGAGACATCCCAGACCAGCTGTAACCCATTCGTGATGGCTGCCTGTGAGCCACACCAAGGAGGACGCTGAGACTTTCCAAAGGACAAGGCTGGACCCAGGTTCTCAGAAGTGCACCAGGTTCTGGCTCTATCCCCAGGCCCTAACATTACTTTCGGATTCACTGCCTCTCCCCATCCATGGCTTCCTCTGACCAAGCCACCACCCTCTCACCAGGGTACACCAGCCACAGCCTCCTGGCTGTTCTTCCTCCAGCATCCTTGACTCCCCAGGCCATCCTCCTTCCAGAAGGCCGTCTGAAAGGAGGCTGTCAGTCCATCATAATTTAAAACCCTTGTCATAGTTCCCTGCCCAGCATCATCTGCACCCTGTCCACCTGCCACCCTCCACCTTCCCCCTCACCTCCACCCTCACCTCCACCCTCACCACCACCCTTACCTCCACCCTCACCTCTACCCTCCCCTCCACTCTCACATCCACCTTCACCACCACCCTTACCTCCACCCTCACCTCCACCCTCTCCTCCACCCTCACCTCCACCCTCACCCCCACCCTGACCTGGGCCATAGCTTTCCCACAGCCCCAGAGTGGG